TAATTGAGTCGTGTTTTTGTGACATTTGTACATGTGACCGCGTGAAGCTTGAGATGACATGTGTCACAACTCGTTGGAGGGAGTGGGTGGTGTGGGCTAAGGACTCCAAAAGCTCTCTTTGAGGGTTGAGGGCTATTAATCAGAATTAAAGGGCCCAGGAGCTGTTTGCTCACTAGATCTCAAGCTGTCCTCCACTAAATTGGAAGGTGAAAGACATATTATTTACAAAAAAAGAAAGAAACTGCCGGGTGTGGTGGCAGACTCCCAGCACTAGGGAGGCTGAAGCAGAAGGATTCCTTGAATTCCAGGCCAGCCTGGCTATACAAAGACAGTCTGAACTACACAGTGAATCTCTGTCTCAATATAGAAAGAAGGAAAGAAAGGAGAAAAAGAAAGAGAGAGATTTGGAGTACGAGGAAAAGTACATGTTATTTTCTATTTTTTTCTGACTTGCTCACATGACAGCATAACTGTTCAGGGTTCGTGAGAAAAAGTATAAGCAACACCAGAAAAAAAAAATCAATAAAGCAGCAGGAGAGTGCACAGTGGGTCAATCCTACCCAACTATTACAGACAGAAATGCTCACAGAAGCCCAAATCCCATAGAATTCTTCATTCTCAACTCCCTAACCTGGTTCACAACTAAGGGACTAATCGTACCCTTGCTGGAGAATCCCACCACACCAGTTTAAGCATGAGGGAATCTTGGGAACTGTGAAACCTGCAGACACATTTAGAAAAGTTAGTCAAATGTCTTAATTGCAGGACCAGGGATTTGGCTCAGTGGTTCTGCCATCTGCCTCACAAGCCTAAGGGCCCGAGTTCGATCCCCGGTATTAAAAAAAAAAAAAGTCTAATTGCAAACAGAGGTTTGGGATTGGCAGAGTAGTGGGGAAACAGAAGCCCAGCACACCTGAGCATGGTATCCAGGTGTCCAGGAAGGAGTCTACAGGCACACAAGGAGAAGTTCTTTAATGATTACCTGTCCAGATTGCAAGCTGACAACACAGCCTATCAGACCACATGCTTGAGTTAAAAAAAGAAGTGGATTTAAAAGCTGTTTTCAAATCCTTTCTCTAGTGTATTTTCCTGAATATGTTAAGTCTGGAAGGGAAACTCACTGTGCTGAAACTCTGGCAGCTCTCTGACAATTCAAAATGTCACTGTGACCCTGTAAATGCAGCAGATGAAGGGGAATGCTGACCTCAGTCTGACTCATAAATCAGCTTTAAAGATCCTGGAAACAAGCAAACAGAAGAAAACTGGGCCAGGCAGGTATATTTATCTTGTGTTCAGTTGGACCCAATCTCTAGGCCTTAACTGCACTGTTACATGATCTCAGGATTTCTTATGCAGCACTGAGGTAGTTCTTAAGCTTAGCCAGGCCTCATGCTTCAGATACTGTACTTCTCTAGATTGGTGATTCTGACTGATAAGCTCTGGTTTTATTTATGGTGGTGATGCCCATAATCTTTTGCTCCCTCGTCAGGTTCCTACAATAAAGCAAAAGCTGGCATCATGGATAAATCCAGAAATGGAAATATTTTGCAGGGTGCTTTTGAAGTGGATCATACAAAAGACTCATTAAATAGCATCCACTAAGCAAAGCCAGGGTCATGATCTTGATGTAAAATAAGCCCTCCTTTGCCACATAGGTTTTTAAAAATATATGCTTTAGAATCAACAAAGACTGCAGCAGGACCTAAATATGCCTAGGAGGTGAAAGAAAGTACATTTTTTTAAAAAAAAATTTATTTTCACTTCTCTGTGAGCCAGTGGTTCCCAAAATTGGAGGGTTAAAAAACCAAAACAAAGAAAACAGGGCTGGGGATTTAGCTCAGTGGTTCCACCTTCTGCCTCTCAAGAAAAAGAACCTGAGTTCAATCCCCGGTATAAAAACAAACAAAACAAAAACAAAAAACAGATTTCCAAATCCTTTTTTGTGTTCCATTCCCTTACTAATTCGGAATATCCAGGAGGCAGAGCCCAGAATGCTATCCAAGATTCTACCTCAATCCTGATGTCCTATGTCAATTCTTGTGACCAATAATCCTTCATGTTTATTTAAGTAAATGTTGCCCTCTAGTGGAATAATTATGACCTAGATCCTACACCTAGGTGTTAAAAGAGTTTAAAAGTGGGTTTTTGTTTTGTTTTGTTTTTTATTTGGGGGGGGGTGTTGGTTTTTGTTTTAGACTTTAAATTTATGCCTATCTCAAAGCTGGAGTCCTGAATCTTGGATGTCCTCTGTCACCTGTGGAAACTGTAAAATCATTGTACAATGATTTGTCAGGTTGACTTGCAAATAGCTATTTAGTAAGACAGTATAGCCACTTTTGAAGAAGGGGTCTTGAAAAAAAATACCTTGTAAAACCAGAAAGCTCAAGGTAACAACATCTTTACCACAGTAAATCAAGTCAGGTTGGTTTTGATACTTCCCTGCTGCTGCTGCTGCTGCTGCTGCTGCTGCTAATTCTAGGCTTAACTTGAAGCATATGTGGGATAGTTATGGGATTTTGGGGGGCGGGGTTTGAGACAGGGTCTCACTCTGTAGTTGAGACTGACCTGGAACTCACTATGTAGCCCAGGCTGGTCTCGAACTCACAGTGATCCTCCTGCCTCAGCCTCCCAAGTGCTGGGATTACAGCTGTGCGCTGCCACACCCAGCTAGTTATGGGATTTTAAAAAAATGAAATGAGCCAGTTTCTGGTAGCAAGGTATATTTTTTAAATCTCCGTCCTAATGTTTAAGGGAAATTTTAAAAAATTACTGTCACAGCCCTGGAGATTTAGCTCAGTGGCATAGCACCTGCCTTGCAAGCCCAAGGTCCTCAGTTTGATCCCCTGTACCAAAAACTACAAACAAACAGAAAACTGCTGTCACTGAAAACAGTTTGGTTCTTAGATAAATAGAACTTTGGCTCTTCCTGTTCTAGAATGACTGGATTGGAAGAGATTGCGACACTCATTCCAAGAACTTCTCTTTGCCACAGAACCATATATACTACTGTATACACTTTCTTATATTGCAAAAGAACTTATTTCATATTACTAAGATTACTGCTTTTTTACTCTTTGCTGTTGTTTAAAAATGTGCAAATATCTGCTTTGTAGGGTCAGCTTGCATAACAGTTCTATGAGGAAATACCATTAGCCCTATCTTATATTAAAATTTAGAAAAGTTAACAGCACAGTTGAAAAGCTACAGCTAGAAAGAGGCACAACCTGCATTAGAATCCAGTGATCTATCTAACTGCAAAGATTGTCTGGTTAACTCTTAATGATATAATGTGTTCTACCATTAACAGGTTATTCTTGCCCCAGTGCAGAGTATTATGACAAGGTACCATTGAGTGACCTAAAAATGCAGTCAGATAGTATCCTAGATGGAATTTTCTGGAATACAGTTGTCCCTCCATAACCACGAGAGGTTAGTTTTAGGATCTCCCCCAAGATACCAAAATCCCACAGCGATTCTCAAATCCCTTATATAAAATGCCATGGCCAAGCATGGTGGCGCACGCCTATAACCCAGCACTTGGGAGGCTGAGGCAGGAGAATCACTGTGAATTTAAGTCCAGCCTGGGCTACATAGTGAGTTCAAGGCCAATTGAACTAGAGTGAGACCCAGGTCCTGAGTTCAATCCTTGATACCAAAAGAGGGGGGCAGGGATTTAGTTCAGTGGTGCCACTGCCTGCCTCACAGCGCAAGGTCCTGAGTTCAATCCCTGGTACCCCCCGCCCCAAAAAAAGAGTGAGATCCTGTCTCAAAAAACAATAGCACTGCACCTGCCTGGCAAGCTCAAGGTCCTGAGTTTGATCCCCAGTCCCCAGTACCAAAAAACCAAACCAAAACAAACAAAAAGCCCTAGCATTTACATAGTCCTATGCGTAGCTGCCTGAATACTTTAGATCATCTCTAGAGTGCTAATAATTTATAATACAAAGTAAATGCTTTGTAGTAATTGTGGTAATTGTGATACTATATTGTTTGGGAAAGAATAAGAATGAAAAAGGTTTGTACATGCTCAGCACAGTTCAAATGTTTCTCCAAGTTTTTTGTGTTTTTGTTTTTGTTTTAGTATCAGGATTGTATTCAGGACCTTGTGCTTGTGAGGTGGGTGGCAGAACCATTGAGCTCAATCCCTGACACTCCAAGTTTTTTTTGTTTTGTTTTGTTTTGTTTTGTTTTGTTGTACCAGGGATTGAACTTGGGACCTTGTTCTTGCGAGGCAGGCAGCAGAACCACTGAGCTAAATCCCCAGCTCACCAAGTATTTTTGATCCATACCTGGTTAAATCCATAAGTATAGGCTTGTGAATAGGGACTGCTGATTGTTAATAAGTCCCAGTGTGGTGTGGTATTAGGGGCTTTGCCTCAAATTATTACAGACAGCTAAATTAGATAGATGTTTGTTTGTTTGTTTGTTTGGGGTACCAGGGATAGAACCCCAGACCTTGTGCTTGCAAAGCAGGTGGCAGAACTACTGTGCTAAATCCTGGGCCCTAGATAGATATTAATGTGCAGTCAGAGAGATTGGTCTCTCAAGGAAGTTAGCACAAAAAAATAAAGGCATCAGAATTATGGCTGGAGATGAAGCTGAAGAGAGCCAGGCCTCAGAATGGAGGCACAATAGCTGGGCCTGCAAGGAAACAGAGCCTGAGATTATACTGTAATTAGCAAGACTTTGTCCAGGGGGCCCAGCCAGGCATAGGTCTGGGACGAGAACATCTACACCCATTCCATCCTCCTGTTCCAAAAATTCCTTTGTTCTTTCCATGTACTTTTGCTGCATGACTCGTTTCCCTATCGGGTCAGTATTAGCTAAGTGACTATACTGATTGCAGTCTGACCCATGTTGTGCCCACAGTGTGATTGTGTCATATAAACTACCCCTGACCAAGAACCTCAGTGGCTGCCCACTCCGGCCCCATCCTGGAAATCCAGCAGCTGTTCTCCCTCCTTTGGTTCCTGACTTTATTCCTCGATGTCGTGAGACCATGAACTCAGCACATTGGGCATCTAACCGTTCAGGACATATTTTTTCTGCAGCAAAATGACAGATGAGCTTTCCTGATCGCATTTTGAAGTTTTGCAAAAACAATGCAAAAGTGTAACAGCCATCTGCTGAGAATAACGAGCTTTCCCACTGCTCTATGGGCTAATACTAACCTGTTACTTGTTCATTTTCCTCTGAAATGTTGTTTGTCACATCCGTCTGTGCCGAGTCTATATTCCACCATGGTAAAGTACCCAAAACATCATCAGTTGATGATACAGTAATGCCTCCGTTCATGAATGGCTCTGTTCACAAAGAATTTGGTTCTCAAAAGCTAAATTTGATAAAATTTTGTTGCCAGTCACAGCATCAGGCAAAAACAAAATTGCAACCATCTTCCCCACACAAACTCAAAAGCAGCTATCTTCCCCAACATTATAAAACAAATTAAGGTGATGAACCGAGGTACCACTGCACTGTATATTAATAATCCTACTGGGCCACTGTGGAAATGGCTGTCCTGTCAAAATTCCTCCACCTCCTCATTGGCCAGTTCCTCCTAATTCCCCGGGGTCTGGCTTAATTCCACAGAGCTTTCCGGAAGCTTCTCTCAAACAGCTCATAAACACACTTCCCGTTGTAAATCCCAGCGCCCAGGCTCCCTCTTTTTCCCAGGGCCTCTCTTCAGTTCAGGTAGGTCAACAGTTCTTGAAATTTTCCACCTTAGAGTATCATTTCCTGGCTTTCTTGCTCTCTCTCTCTGCTTTTATGTTTTCTTCCACGGGATGTATTTATTATGGCTTAATATGTTGGAATAAGCTATTCTCTGTCTCCTTTCTCTCTGGAGAACTCATCCACCTTATTTTATACTCGGAGCAGACAGGAGAGACAGATACTTTCGCATACATTAGTCATCTTCATTTTGCAAATGACTTAGGCTTTGACCTCAGTGTGTACGGTTACCATCCATTCTTTCATTCATGCATTAATTCTTTCAATAAATATCCTCGAGAGCATCTACATAAAATGAATTAATGTCATAATATCTGAGCCAACAAGTTGGTGAAGGTAATGGGACATGTACAGAAAGAAGTGAGGTCGGTACAAGGCTGACTGAAAAGTACAAGAAAGTAAGAATAAACTCAGAACTATGTGGTCAAGAGGAAGATGATCTGCTGGAAGGAAATGGGTTGGAGAACAAGGAAGGCTTAAGTGGTATCAGGTATGCGCCTCTTGCCAGATTTTACAGGCAAAAGGACAGCCTAAGGCAGTGATGGCAAACTTCAGAGACCGAGTGCCCAAACTGCAACCCCAAACCCACTTATATATGGCAGGGTCAACTCTGCAATTAACCTGAATACTGAGGTTTTAGTTTAGAAAAGAACAACTGTTCTTCAAAGTCAGGCTGGGGTTTCTTTAGCAGGCTGCAGAGTGAGACAGGACTATAGGTGCGCTTCAGAATGAGTTAGAGGAATAGACATTTGAGAGACAGGCATCTGAGAGACCATTGGGAGACTGTTAGCGTCAGTCATTTTCTTGTTAATCTAGAGCAAAAAAAGGGAAGGCGGTAGCCAGGCACGGTGGCACACAACTGTAATTCTAGCACTGAGAGGTTGAGCAGAAGAATCTGGACTTTGAGTCCAGCCTGAGAAACCTAACAAGACCCTGACTGGAAAAAAAAAATATGTAAAGGGCTGGGGATACAGTTCAGTGTGAAGGCTCTGGGTTAGATCCCCAGCATGGGAAGAAAAAAATGAGAGCTAAAGAGGTGGGGGGAGAGAAAGACAAGAAAGAAAGCGAGAGAAAGAAAGGAAAGAAAAAAAGGAGAGAGAGAGAGAGAGAGATGGATATATGCAAGAGACCTCGCCAAGGTGAAATAGAACTTTTTTTTTTTTTTTTTTTTTTTTTTTTTTT